AAAAAAAAAAAAAAAAAAAAAAAAAAAAAAAAAAAAAAAAAAAAAAAAAAAAAAAAAAAAAAAAAAAAAAAAAAAAAAAAAAAAAAAAAAAAAAAAAAAAAAAAAAAAAAAAAAAAAAAAAAAAAAAGGGCTGGTGTTAGCAAATTCTGTCAAGTTAAGTCCTTAAGCTCGCCTATCTGGTAGCTGGAATAGTCTCTTAGGCTACCGGCGAATAGGTACAATCTCTTTCTTACCTGATTTTCTCTCACAAATCTTCGTATTGCGTTCCAAGGGTAGCTGGTCCCAGGTGCGGTGCAGTAGTTATGTTTGCTGAGGTCGCAGGGAGCAACCTGCGGCATCCTGCCTCGGTGCGAGCGCCCAGACCTGGCGCAGGCGGTCGCGTAGTCCGCGCCGTAGCTGCCTCCTGTCCATATCGCCTACTTAGGAGAAGTTTGTAATGTTGATTGATATATTTATGGATTTTCTTACTGGGATCATTTGCACTCCTACTGTAGATCACGAGATACTATACTTTTTATTTTTTTTATTGCTTAGATGGCTGGACGATCTAACAGCCCACCTGGTGTTAAGTGGTCATTGGAGCCCATAGACATCTACAACGTAAATGCGCGACACACCTTTAGATATAAGTTCTAAGGTCTCAGTATAGTTACAACGGCTACCCCATCCTTCAAACCGAAACGCATTTCTGCTTCACGGCAGAAATAGGCGGGGCGGTGATACCTACCCGTGCGGACTAACCTACCTGGTCCTACCGCCAGTGATTACGCAAATCATAATTTTGCGGGTTTGATTTTTATTACACGATGTTATTCCTTCACCGTGGAAGTCAATCGTGAACATTTGTTAAGTACGTATTTCATTAAAAAAATTGGTACCCGCCTGCGGGATTCGAACACCGTTGCATCGCTAGATACGAATGCACCGGACGTCTTAACCTTTAGGCCACGACGACTTCAAAAATTAGTGATGAGGCGTATTGTGACAATATTTATATAATTAGACTTGGACCTAATGTCTCAAAATGAGTTGCAGCATTTACGTTACGGTGCCTATGGGCTGTGGTGACGATTTAAGCCGTGAGCATCTACCTATTTAGTGCAATAAATCAATAGTAGGTATATATTGGTAGGCAGCGGCTCGGCTCTGGCATTGCTGACGTCCATGAGCGACGGTAAACACTTACCATCAGGTGGTAAATTATAGTTCATAAAGATCTAAAATAAAAAATAAAAATCAGGTTAGATTACTTAAATCTAGAGCATTTTCAGAACGGTTTAGGCAAGCGTAAAAGTCTAGAACGATCGATCAATATCCAAATGAGATGCAAGAGTCACAATGCCTCGAGCTACGCCTAATTATATCCTCGTAGTTTCACTTTCTTATTGACCACTTTCTAGTCTGTTAGCGGATGACACGTGAATGTGAGCACTTTTGGCGAAATCGGATGTAATTTAGGAGTGTGTGGGTTTTTTTTATTAGCGTCGATGTATTAATCCAGGGGATATTAAGTGGTAATTACATATACATACATATATTCGGCTACTATTTAAATGTATGAATGCAGAGAATTCAGGGATGCGATGGCATTTTTTGTTCAGGGTTCATTAGTCATTTAATTTTGTCACAAAAACAAAAAACTAGTCCTTTTGGTTTAGTTCCAGCCCTAAGCATAGAATACTCTGTTCGTGCAGGTAATGATCAATGTGAAGGTTATTCTAGAGATCGATGGTACGTGATAAAAATGAAACAAATCTCTGTAAGTGAATTTTGGATAAGTGCTGCGATTCCTCTGATCACCTTGCTCCGATAGCAGGTGATACGACTTTAAAATGGTAGTATCTCAAATAATTCTGTTGGGTACTCCTTCAGTCCACAAAGGCTTTGGAGTTAGGGGCAGTATTGCAAATATCTCTGTTAAAAAAATTGTCCCACATTTGATTCCGAAAAAGAATTAAGTCGGTGACGTCATCAAACCAAAGTATATCTACGTGTGGGCATCTGATTACCGTTACGAAGCGAAACGAAAAAAACAACAGATTTACTTAAACATTATTATTTTTTCCGAGGATATCAAACTTTAAATACACTAGAATATTTAAAATTTGTTGGAGTTGATAGATATAGAAAATCCTTAACAAAAAAAAAACATAGACATAGACAGTGACAATAGGTGTCTTGAATAGTGAAAAAAAGTAGGTATATCTATCGGTTCGTGAAGTAAAACAAAATAGCAAAACTGTGATTTCCATAAAAAGTTCTAAAACATTCGCGTAATTAATTCTAATTTATAAAAGTGCGTTAGTATCTTATTTCGTAACTGCCTATGCTCTGCGATTTAAAGATAGGACTCTGGTAATATTTAAATGTATTCAACATTATCATGTTTTTTTTTTATTGCACAAATTAAAGGCTTCATGGAGTGGAGTCAACCGAATGCATCAACCTCTTTGTCATACATCAATTTTATACCATTTGTAACTTTTATCGTTAAAAATTGCCTTTGAAGAAATCATTTTTCAACCTCATATTTCTTCTTCAAAAGAGGCTTGTGGAGATTATTAAGCGGTAGGCAGCGGCTTGGCTCTGCCCCTGGCATTGCTGAAGTCCATGGGCGACGGTAACCACTCACCATCAGGTGGGCCGTATGCTGTCGTCATCTGCCAACAAGGGCAATAAAAAAAATCTCTAGTTTTTTTTAAATGTAAATTGTGTTGGTGTGCAATAAAGTGTATTCTCTCTCTCTCTCTCTCTCTCTCTAGAATGAACTAACTCCAGTGTCGATGTGCCATCAACTTGGCTATAACTGCGGCGTCAGCTTAGTTGGACTATAACTTAGTTTATGTTGTCAATGGGAGGACCTTTAGGATCAAAATTCATTCATAAACGAGTCTTCTCGTGTATTAAACAATCGCAATATCATTTTTGTATTTCAAATCTATCGTTGACAAATTTACAAAAGTAGTTTTCCCAGCTGTCAATTAGAATTTCCTTCGGTTTACAAAAATACTTTTACGGCTTAATTTCAGGTCGTCCCCGTGATCACGTAACCGTTCTGTATACTGTTTTTACGGGTCAAGTGATTACCGGAGCCTATAAATCAACAACTTAAATAATGCCGCCACCCACCTCCAGACACGAGCTCTTTTTAAATTTAAATCGCTAACCACGTACGAAGCGTTTATAATTATCTGACATCATAAACATGATAATACCTGAAAGCGTACTATATTCTCTCGGGAACCATCAACAGCCAGATAGAGAAGCACTTCTTCGAACTATTAAGCTAACATAAAAAATATTTCAGTCCATAATAAATGATGGTTTTGTGCACCGTATTTGTAGTTAATGATCAGTTAGCGAGCATGACAGCAAGTGAAAGTGACCCAATGGTATTTTTGGGCGTGTGACGTCATAAGTCGCGATGCGCGTGCGAGGTGGTCTCGGTGTTCGTGATGTTAACGACGGGGCCTCATCGCAGAGGGATAGACTGATCTTGAACTGAACTGTTAGTTTTTTCTTATTACTGTAGAAGTTCAACGGTGCTCACGGCCAAAATTAAGTGGTTACGAGAGCTAATAGACATCGCTGCGAGAGTGTCTCCGGCCTTGGAACATGGGCCGAGATCGCATTGGTAAGTATTTTAATAAAGCTTATCCCTTTCATGTGGATGGGTTAGCTCACTAAGTGAGTTCCATCATCTGCAGACCGTGAAGTCCCACATACCACGCGTGCCCACTAGACGTGGACATCTCGTGGGAGGGTCAGCCCCATGTCCGAAACAAAAAGAAAAAAAACTAGCTGAGCTAGAGCAACAAGAAAATAATTAACAAAACTTCCGTATCTTGGGTGGGTATTGTAGATAAAGGCGTTTTGCAAAATAAGGTAGCTGATGCATCAGAATATAATAGCATAAAACACGTGGATGAGTAATGAGTGGTAATGTTTGTTATACCATTTGAAACTGAGTGGACTGTGCTCTCGTCTAGCCGACAAAAAGTCTATTCGCAATTGACAAGATCGATAATTGTTACAAACTAAAGTCTGGACAAGAAGGTATCAATATCTAAGAATACCATGCAAACTACGATAACTTTAGCAATAAATTAAAATTTGAAAAGGTTGCAAAACAACGGAAACAAATTCTGTAACCTGCTGATTTGACTTGACGTGACTTGAAAGAACAAACCGTCTTGAAAAATAACAAGAAAAGTTAATAACAAGTGGTTAGACCACGCATTCGTCTGTTTGTATTTTTTATAAAATACCTCCAATCTAACTTTTTTAAATTCTAAGGCATTCACCAAATAATTAATAAGCTAAATCTAAAATAAGAACCGGCAACAAAACAAAAGCAAACATATTATTCTCAAAACATTCAAGTTAACAAGTGACTGCCGGTGAAATCTGCCCACCTTTCTTTACTCGCCAACTTTCCCCGCAACCGGGTCCGCGGTGCGGTGATGTAAATATAAATCACGATTTTCGCGTTTGACACCGGCTGTCTATGGTAATAATTATGTTATGTCATTTTGATTGTCAGGAGACAGTGTATAATTTTAAGCTTATCAAAATCCGCTCTGTCGATCTTGCGCGTAAATTTCATTGTCTTCTACCTCACCTTTCAGTGTCAAGGTCAGCAGTATTAAGTATGTATTCAGACTTTTTACTCTAAAAGTCATGTGGATCAGTGTCAGTGTATAGACATTTTTAGTTATTGTGGCGTTGACTTAAGCAAAAGTTGGCCTGCTGTTTGTTTTCTAGGCTGCGCATGTGTACGTATTGATTATAGAAAAAATAATTGTATCAAGATGGTTATAGCCTATTAAATGCGTGTAAGATATTTTTTTATGAATGTGGGATTACTGGTGGCCCGGAGGCCTCTCTAGTTTCACCAGGACAGGTGGGCGAGCAGAGGCTCAGCCAGGAGGGGTGCACCGAGCGCCTCCAAAGGAGACCTAATAACTCAAGGGCTTCGCGAATGAATCTACTACCGGATCGGAATCGCGACCCGCTGAGATCCGGCGAGAAACTCAGAGGGCTGTTGTTTAGGTTAGGAAGACGATGTTCTTTATGAATCCCAATAACCAAAAGCGAGGTCAATTGTCTGCCTCATATCTTATCGTTATATGTTTGCTCGAGTCGGGGTCGTATATTTGTTTCCCGCACTCGTAATACTGATTTTCATCGTATTTTGGAGATATTGGATGTATGAAAGCCACTGCTAGTGGATCTCTCAGAACCCAGGGAGGCCCCCTGAGCCAAAGTGCAATCTATTAGAGTAAACGCTTCTAGAGAACTACACAAATGTAGGTATGATATGAGATTAATATAAGGAAGACATGTGACTTCATTGGCTGATGTCAGTCACCTATTTTTGTACTTTTCTACAAGCGTTTTATCCTTTTTCAAACAAGGTTTGTAGAGATTACCTAACGGCGGGGCTTGTGCCCCTAGTATTGCTGATGTCCCTGAACCACGGTGACCACTCACCATCGGGTGGTCCGTGAAGGCTCCATGGAAGCTAATAATTACGTTTTATATTTGTAGAGTACCAGTAATGCGTGTCGGTTAGAAAGATGGGGCAGTAATAAATGAGACTTAGAACTCATGTCTCATAAAGCGTGAGGGCATTTACGTTGTTGATGTCTATGGACTTCGGTAATCAGTTAACACCAGGTGGGCCGTGAGGTTGTCCACCCATGTAGGCAATAAAAAAGGTATAATAATTTGGATTAGCGATACCCACTTCTCAAGTCAAGATTTTTTAATGACTACTATTCATATAAAGAATTTATGTCTTTAACATACTCAAACATATTTATTGCATAGGGAAGTAAAATATCTTAAAGCTACTTGATTATTAATGTTTAACTCGTTAACGATACAATTTCACAGCTGCACGTCCTGAATTCACTTTTATTGCTAATTAAAATGGCATTGGCTTGTTAGATGTAATTAGTGTTATTAATAGGTTAATATGAAAATTCTTCATGATCATTGCGTTTGTTATTTTATTACAATAAAAATTAATACAATTCAGTGTAGTATGTTTTTGTTTTGATGGGTGGATGAGCTCACAGCCTACCTGGTATTAAGTGGTTACTGGAACCCATAGACATCTACGACGTAAATGCGCCACCCACCTTGAGATATAAGTTCTAAAGTCTCAAGTATAGTTACAACGGCTGCCCCGCCCATCAAACTGAAACGCATTACTGCTTCACGGCAGAAATAGGCAGGATGGTGGTACCTACCCCCGCAAACTCACAAGAGGTCCTACCACCAGTAATTACGAAAATTATAATTTTGCATAGCGTAATAATTCTTAATCCATTAGCATCTTGTTCAGAAAGTGAGTGAATTAAGAATTTCTAGTTGCTGATGGAGATTTTGACACAATACTGCAGTCATCGAGTAATACTGATAGATCCGACGCAAAAATGGCTTATCTTCGTAGTTGTCTAATTTCTTCTTGTTTCACTATTGAATTCAGTGAAGGAATTATAATCAGTTTGCAGCTTGTGCGAAATGTAATTAAACTGGGTGAGCGGCTGGCCTGCTTCCCACGCGACGCCATCGCACCGACTGTACCGCTCGTCCTGATTTCGTCTTTAGACTAGTTTTTATTCACTTCTGCATAATCATGGCGCAATTAGAGTCAAGAGTCTAGTAGCTGACCTATTTGTTAAGTTTCTGGGAGCCGATAGATGGAAAATGTTTGAATAAATAAATGTTTGAGTTAAAGATCATAAAATGTTTACTTGTTTAATTTTTTTAAATTAATCTTTGGGGAGAGAGGAAAAAATGTAGGGTTTTTCAATATGCGTTCAAATTATAGATGTTCCAATTTTTTTTTATGGCTCTTGTAGGCAGACGACCATACGGCCCACCTGATGGTGAGTGGTTACCGTCGCCCATGGACTTCAGCAATGCCAGGGGCAGAGCCAAGCCGCTGCCTACCGCAAAATTCCTAAAAATTCCGCAAAAATTTAGGCAAATGCCAAATCCGTAGGCAATGAAATAAATTAATAACATATATATGATATATATTTGAACGGATACTGATTGATTTTAAATAATTCTCATTTAATGCTCTCGAGTCTATATTAGAGAATCAAACGACCACTATAAAAAAGAATTGTACCTGCTTAGTTCGTAAAGTTCGTGATAATTGATCGTTCAAGTCATTATGTAAGTTTGTTTGTGACAATAGATTTTCGGTCAGTTATAATGTGCTGATGGAGTTCACTAGCCTCGTTTCTCGGAATCACTTTACTATGGAAATATTCTTATCATTTCTAGCTCGTTTTTAATTAGGGAAAGCATTGTAGTTGTCTTACCGTGGCTTATCTAGGTACATCATTCTTATAATGTTTTGTATTAACAAAAGTTTCAAAAGACTTATTATCGAATCTCAATCGGAGTTTTTCGAAAGATAAATTTGGGACACTTTCTTAAAATTGACACATTGATAGAATCAAAACCTACCTAATATCACAGAACCACTTTTGATCAGTAACATACTTGCTTAAAACGAATACAGCTTACTTCTGGCAGTAAGAACACCCTCCATGACCACTTTCAACGTATTTCACACTCACCACAAACAGGAAAGCGATCGCGATCAACATTTCGCAGACTAGGGAACTTTCACTGCAGACGCGCGTACGTACATTGTGATACCAACCGTTCTGTGCCACGGCTGGCCACCGACTGAGGGTCTCACATAAAACACAATGTCATTGGCAAGGACTGCAAACTGCAACATGCACCCACAGAACGATCTCAAAAGGAAAAATTACCGGTGCGTTTATCTTTTACGGATCAAGGAAGATATAATGTATATAATGTTCGCTACACGCGTTCTGTTGAGTATTGATATGCGTTTTCATTTGTAATTAACCATACTTTGTAACGTTCTTCAAGTGATCTCTTCGTTCCAATTCCATTTCACTAGACACTAGTCAAAATAATGCTGGAATATCAAACCAGCAATAAATTTTACATGTTATTTGATAAATTGCGAAAGAAGCTGTAAAATTTTTTAATCAATTTTGTTAAACAAATGTTCGGTTAGATTATCCACAACATCGTCGGCTTCATTACAAACAGGTTCAGCTAAACGTGTAAGTATATCTATAGACACCTGTCAATCGTTTACAACAAGATCATCAGAATTCGCGAGTCGAAAACCGTATTAAAGTTAGCGGTCATTTTTAATGATCGTTCACAGGTAATCATCAATCACGGTGATTTCTTTTATTGCACTCTGTTAAAGCCGTCGGACGTTGCGTTACATTACAAATTCACACGATACAAAAATTAGGTTCCGTTCTATGACGAGAATCAAGCTGTGTTTGAGTTGAGTGGGTCAGTCGAGTAATCGTCGGCCGCCGTCGCATCTATCTCTTTCTAACCAAACCGACTGCTGATTGTTAGAAAGAGTAGCAAAGTGTACGCGTGCGTCGCACCGTTATATTATGTTATATGGTGACGATAGCTTGAATGAAGATGGTATTTTCTCCCGCGCCAAAACAATGGCGCCCGGTGCAAATCAACCTGCCACTTTAAAATCGAAAGGTGGTTTCATTAAGTTAATTGTTGGAACTTAATTCGTCTCAGTGTTTTCGATATGAATTATTCAGGTTGCGTTGGATGGGCGCCCTTTTAAATGTACGTAGTCGAGACTTTCTTAAATTAAAAATACACTGCTGGTCATTTCGTGTGACCTACATTATTTTGGTCGATTTTATGTGTGACAGGAAATTAATTCGAGCAAGTATTTCTTGTCTTATTTAAATGTTTTATTATAAAATATGAACTATTATCGAATACGATGGAATTTTATTACGAATAATTATTGCTTTTTTGCTTCACGCAATTATGGATGACATCGACCAGAATAAGCCATCGTGATGTTATGCAAGGAGCCCTAATATCCTAGGAGGAGGAATCCTAGTATGATAGTCTCGAGTGTTTTATTATGATTACTTAGTTCAACAGATTTTTCAACTTTATTTAATGTATTTTCTTTTTTAAGCAATAAAAGGTGGATATACCAGCTCACGGCCCACCTGGTGTTAAGTAGTTACTAGAGCCCTTAGACATCTACAACGTAAATGCCGTCATCCACCTTGAGACATGAGTTGTAAGGTCCCGCTATTAAAAGTACGCCTTTCAACCCGAAACACCTGCTTCACGGCGGAAATAGGTAGGGTGATGGTACCTATCCGTGCGGACTCTCAAGACGTCCTAGTTACAGGTTAGTTATATGTTTATGTTCCGGAAAAGTAATTAAATTCAGGTGGCGGAACCGCTATCGGCGTATTCGTATAGCATTCAATAACAATATTTTACTAATATTCCGCCTGATTTTAGTTAAATACCTAAATAAATTCGTGTCGAGTGTCAAAATCTCACCAAACATTAAATGAAATGCAGACGTAAGAGTCTGTGCGGCTGTTACATACGGATTAGAAGGTTTTAATCCAAATGTGCACATTTTTCATTAAGTTGTAATCAGAAAGTTAATGCCGTTATTCATCTTGATCATAACTCCAGTTGGCTGGAATTCTTCGCGGCATTATTAGGCAGGATGGTTGTACGTTTAGGGACTCATAATACTCTCTACCGCTATTTATGTTACGAAACCAATTGGGGTGGGACGGAAAGAATTTGGGAAGTAGTTGGCAATTGCGGATAAGACACTGCTACCATGGTTGACATAAGCGAAGGTAGGATCCACTGGCCTGTGAAGATGCAGGTATCACGACTCTGAAGTCCATAAGTCTTTCTAGGAATGCGAATGCCTTATGCGGATTCCTACTACTCCTTACTATTCTTTATTTTTGCCACGAAGCATCGTAAAGCAGTTTTTGTACCGATGAAATTGAGATTACGGCCTTATGTGTCATGGTGGGTAAAACATGCTGTGAGGTTTACAGGTTCTACCATGAGATCGGTGAGCTTTCATTAATCACGTCAATAGTCCATTTCAATTATTGAAAGTATCAATAATAAAGCATGTTAAGATAAAATTACTCATGTCCTGTTGAAACTGGAAAGGCTTTAGGGCCACCAGTTATCATTTAATCATTAAAAAATCACTGCAAAAATAGGGATTAGGTAGGTAGGTATACACACCTGCCTTTGTCAAGAACTTTGTTGGATTCTCGGTGCTTGTTTAACAATTGCACGTTGTCGCGTGTCTCGCCAATGTTTATTCTTCTATTTAACGTATAGTTTTCATTTCCTCTGTAACCAGTATGGACGCTCCCCACTTGAGAGTGTTTATATTAGATTTGCTCACTAAAACATTAGCATTGTAGTCAACTCCGAGTCTTGCGGATCGCCATTCTGCAATGAATTGTGATTTTAACAGATTTTTATGTTTAATGGTCGTTGTCTATTTCTGCCTCTCAATACATTTTCCGTATCGTTGGATTTAGGGCAAAAGCGAGAAAAATAAACTGCTATAAAATTGAGACAAACGATAGCCAACACAAAAAATCGAATACGCCAACACAAAAAAATTACAATCGTTAAATTTTATTTTTATATCTTAAACAATATTGCGTCGTTGATGCTCATACTAGACCGAACCTGTCATTGTTGCCTCTGTGGCTACCAGATTTAGTAGTAATGAGACCTAAAAGACTGCTACCGATGGTCGACTACTACGAGGCCCGTATCTCGTAGAAGAAGGCCGTACAGCGTGAGAGAGAAGGAGAGCTATTCACTCTTCGCGTAGATGGCTTTGTATTGGGTTCCGACTTGACGACGGACTAGTTCTAGTCCAGTGGGGGTATCATGGTACACCAACGGTACAGGTCGTTGATGACGGTATCCGACGGAAAGTCCATTTCGCGGCCAGCTCTGTCGGTCAGGTGTACTTATCGTGACAGCGCCTCTGGTTGCAGTGTTGATTGCAGTAGTAACTCCTAATTTCCTACTAGGTGCTGTCCTGAGTGGGGCTCAGACGTTCGGGCAAGAGAGCAGAGGCGTTATTAAGGTATCAAACTAGGCAGTACATTACCCGCCATCCTGGCCCACGGTTCAAACTAAAACCAAGCTTTACCAAGCAACATCCAAACCATAACACTAAATTCAATTTGCAATTTCCAAAACATATTTTATTTCATTGTGCTCTTTTCGATATGAGTCTGCTGATGGTTTCTGCTAGTGTGTTTTTATTTCATTAGCCGTAATCTCAAACCGGATGCATATACCGTCGTCGTGTCTAGCGGTCGTCTATGGTTTGTTGTCACATCCACTTAGGTCCGCATTCGTCTAGCAAATTGCCATTTATATTTGCTCACCTTTTAACCTAATGCAATTGACTAAACAAACATTGGGTGTGATGTGCGAACGATATGTTAATATAGAAAAAGGTAGTTGGTATCTAAATAATATTTAAACATGGATGAGACACCGACTGTCTCTCTTAGTGGAATAAGAGCATGAGGCATCGATTTATCGATGGCATGAGGACTTATTTTTTGCGTAGATGAGCGAACCAGCCATTTAGTATTAAAATGTTTAGACAGTATAAATGAAACAACTCTGAAACATGAGATGGAATTCTGCATTGTACTGTATATGGCTGACCCGCATTTCAACCCGGAATAGATGATTACGTCCTGGCAGGAATAGGCGAGATGTTGATATCTAACCTTACGAGCCTACAATACCCCTTAGAATCGGATATTTCCAGTTGACGATTGCAATACGTTGGTACTACGTCTCAAACAGCACTACTACCCATTATCATGTGAAATCCTTAGTCGCCTCATAAGACACATTCGGAAAGAGATGAGGTGGTACTGTTGTAAGCCACATGGTTGCAATTAGTGGAAAAAGTGCAGCGGAGTGGAGTTAAAGTTTTTAATGTGACTGTGTGATGATTTATGGCTCATTTTTATATAAGTTGAGTATCGTTAGGGCAGTTCTGATGCTATACCTACTACATATTTTGTATAGTATAATTGTAGTGCCTTAAGCACGCTCCTTAACATGCGTGAAGATGAATTTTACGCTATCATGCATATCATATTTAATATTAAGCAACCTCCGGCTGTCATGTGAGTAAGGCGTAGAGCGCCAACGGAACCCTGATGCTAGTTACACGGAGGGTGGGCTAGGCCATACTTGCTTCTTTCTGTCGTTAGTAAACCTGAGATGAAAGTAGACGCTGTAAACTATCATGGTGTTCGTTACGAAGCATTTTGACTTAAAACTCAGTAGATTGACTATTTTATGTTCGTAATAATCTGAAGTTCAAATGTTCACGATTAACTTCCACGGTGAAGAAATAACATCGTGTAATAAAAATGAAACCCGCAAAATTATAATTTGCGTAATTACTGGTTGTAGGACCTCTTGTGAGTTTGTAGGGGTAGGTACCACCGCCCCGCCTATTTCTGCCGTGAAGCAGTAATGCGTTTCGGTTTGAAGGGTGGGGCAGCCGGGGTTTGAAATAAATATAGTAATACCGCCAACGTCACGCTTTCATTGATGCCATTATAGGAAGTCGAACGACTATACGTTGATGCCATATGCAATTATGTAATCTGATGGTATTTTGGATTCCTTGAGTCATTTTTGATAATTCGGCTTTGCCGTTATTTATCTAATATTAAAGGATCCGGCACCTACTATCCTGCCCAGAAATGACGAATTTTGATTCGTTTTATAAGTTATTTTGATGAAATAACTTATAAAACTATATGGATATTACAAACAAATAAAAGCGGGGCTACAGTTCTCCTTATACCATAATTTTGAATGATAATATGTATAAACTGAACTACTTAATATGTATAATGTAACTTGCTGGTGGTAGGCGGCGGCTCTGCTGTAGTCCTGGGACGGCTTATATTCACGAGCGACAATCAACACTGACGAAAAGGCAGTTCGTATACGAATTTGAATTCAAAGACAAAAACAGTAGAAATAATTTATTTATTACAAAATGAACATGTACTTTCTACACATTCGACAGTTTACTTTCACGAGGATATTGCGTCGCGATCATAATAATACAGAGCTGTATTCAGGCCTAGGCTTATTAATACATTTTGAAACTTTCGCATCATTTAAATTTATAAATATTTAACTTATCATTACTAACTTTTTTTTTTTATTGCTTAGATGTGTGGACGAGCTCACAGCCCACCTGGTGTTAAGTAGTTACTGGAGCCCATAGACATCTACAGCGTAAATACGCCACACACCTTGAGATATAAGTTCTAAGGTCTCAGTATAGTTACAACGGCTGCCCCACCCTTCAAACCGAAACGCATTACTGCTTCACGGCAGAAATAGGCAGGGTGGTGGTACCTACCCGTGCGGACTCACAAGAGGTCCTACCACCAGTAAAAACTTCTTCTTCTTCTTCTCAGTCGCACACTCCTGGCGGAGTGGTCGTGCTTACGTATGCCTTAATGCTTGGTTGCAGCTTTTAAGATACTTCTCCATCTCTCTCTATTTGTGGCGGTACGTGTACATTCAGTAAGGGAACACTTCGTAGATGACTTAATCAAACTTACTAACGTAACCTACTTATAAATAACAATTAAATGCTGTTAGTTAGTAAGTACATCCCTTTCAAATACCTCGACCTTTTTGGGTATTTCGATTGTCAATCGGTGTTTTAGACAAATTAAAATCGTAAATGTAAAAGAAGTATAAATCAAAGAAAATAAACAGTTTTGTTGTAATTCGGACACAACACCGTCTGCTAGGCCGGCCAGTTTATAAGACCTGTGATGATTGCGATGCTCAGTCGATAGCCTTTTAATATTGGTAGCACCTGAGAGCACAATCTGATGTATGAAAATAAGGTTTTTTTTTTAAATCACGTATTCGATATTTCCGAGGTTCTGACTTCGTTACTGGTATCGATGCGATTAAGGAAAAACCGCTTCATGTTATTTACATAATCTTAACTGCGAAATAACCAGTTGGATTATCTTAATTCCTTATAATGAAAGCTACGAAAGCACAAGTCCGTCTACGGTGAAAGAGCAAACATTAAATTTGTCATACAATGTATATAGTGTAGTGGCTCGGTTGTGTTTGCTGAAGTTGATGAAAAATTCGCAATTGCAAAATGGGTTTGGGAATAATGATGTTCCCCTCACACGTGTCGAGGAGATTGGGTAATTACTAATAATTTACTGGTGGTAGGATCTCTTATGAGTCCGCGCGGGTGGGTACCACCACCCTGCCTATTTCTGCCGTGAAGCAGTAATGCGTTTCGGTTTGAAGGGTGGGGCAGCCGTCGTTACTATACTTGAGACCTTAGAACTTGTATCTCTAGGTGGGTGGCGCATTTACGTTGTGGATGTCTATGGGCTCCAGTGACCACTTAACACCAGGTGGGCTGTGAGCTCGTCCACCCATCTAAGCAATAAAAAAAAAAACAAAACCTGAGTGGCTATGTGGTTCTGGTGTTCGTCCGTGAACACCGACCTATCCTTACCGTGGGTATCGCAAAAAGCAAAGTGATTCACAAAAAAATAGACAGCAGTATTTTCTGAGTACTACTGTTTTCAAAACATATCAGATGCTTAAAAAAATTCGACTATCTGCACCAGTTACATATAGATTTTAGAGATTATGTATAGATATATAGCGTACGCTGCGAGTCGACTTAAGTAGATACAAACATACTACCTATTTCTGGTGCGAATCAATAATGCATTCTGGTTTCTGGAACAGTCGTTGTGACAACGTTGTTAAGAGTCTGATATTGATTGAAGATACGCATTAATAGCATTCAGGCCGTGCGTGCAGCTTGGCTACGGAGACTTCTCTCTTTCTTACTCGTTACAAGAAGACTTAATAAAACAACAATTTGTAAGAAGAAAACAAAATGTAATCATTATTCCAAGTTAATTGTAAAAAATAATATCGTCCAACATAATTCGAAGTTGACTGTATTAAAACTCGTTATTTATGATGTCATGAAAGGCTATTAAAATGGTAAGATCGCACCGATTCCCGTTACTATTTCAAGTATGTTCTCAGAATATATGACAATCTCTTAAAGTCAAATCGAATGAGCGATATATTATTATTCCCTCATAAACCCATAACAATATTTATTTGCTAAAGTAGGCAAAAGTACAGCTCAGTTTTTCCTTATTTATGTTTTAAGATCTGTAGCCGTTAACATTGTTATGACGGTCTGTATATAGTTATTTTGTTATTTGTGTTAATAATTTGTAAAACTTTTGATGGTGATTTTCTGTATGATCATAACAGGAATCAGCACTATCTGTGCCTTTGACTTCTTTTTCGAGAACGCTTCCAGTAAACACGTAAAATATAACTTATATCTTCCGTGTCAGTACATTTCTTAATTTCTTCCAAAACTCATCTTGATTATTTTCGTCCCACGTGTGATAAATTTTGGTTTTCAACAAGTATTTCAATGTTGTCGTCAGATATTTATTTTGTACATCGCTTATTCTAACTAAAACTAAAGGGTCATAGGAGGTACCATCCTCTAAAAAAATTCGATGGTACTCCGCCAATTGGGTCTCCCATCTACACCATTGGGATTTAGCAAACCCATTACTTATAACTAAAATTACGTATTTACTTTCGTTCACACTTTTTAATACTGCTTCTGATATGAAAGATCCTATATCAAAGTCTCGTTCGTAAACGCATAGCTTCAGGAATGGTGGTTCCAGTTCTAAATTGTTAATCATATGGACGACAAAATCTCTATCTTCACTGCTGTAAGATATAAAAGCATCATACTTGTAATCCTTTGTCTCTACATGCTTCCCAGATTTTCTCCTGAAATTCCGCCCTAAAGCCAGTTTAGCTAAAAACATCCAATAGCGAATGTACGTCTTAAATTTAAAGATAAAAACTATTATAAATAAGATCAGTGCTAGAGCTACTAGCGATGGTGCAGTCCAAACTAAATATATTATGTTTGTCATTTTCTCCGTCATCAGGCATCGCAACGTTTTTATTGAAGATAAGTAATCAGCTACCCTCTTATCTTCCCAAATATCCGGACTGCTGCATTGGAATTTGGAACTCTGAATAAACTTTCTAAGAACCTCGCTACCGTTCGCTTGTAACCAACTATACATTTTATACATCGAACTGCAATCACATATAAAAATGTTATCCATTAACTCTATTTCTATTCTTGAATTACCATTATTTTCTAACAAATAACTTATATCTTGTATCATACTCATTGAAAAATGTGATAGTTTGTTGTTCTTTAGATTCAGAGTGATCGGCTTAACGCCAGAGGCAAGGAACAATGGTTGCCACCACGAAACAAAGAGATTCTCGGATAGGTCTAATACCTTTAGTAATTTTAACGGCTTCAACGTCTCTGCTGATATATAGTACAATTGGTTATTTCTAAGCACAAGATGGGTCAGGTTTGGCATCATCTCGAATATGTTATCATCATCATAAAATCTCTTTATTCCACAGTTTTCTAGAATCAAAATTTTTAAGTCATTTAATCCATCAAACATGGAACTTGTCAAATTCTCATTTTGTTCCAAGGGATTGTTGGCTAAATTTAACATTTCTAATCGTTTTAATGGCTTGAAACTTTTATCACCAATGTGATACAAGGTGCCGTTCTCCATACTCAGGATCTGTAGATTTTCCAAGCCACGAAACGTGTACTCGAAGATAGCTCTGATTCTATTAAAAGCTAAATTTAGTATTTTAAGTTCCTTGCTTTGGACAAAAGTGTTTCTATCAATCTCGTAATACATAGGATTCGTTGGACTACCTTTGTTATCAGATAAATCTAAAAAGAGGAGTTGATCTGAGAAGGGTGCCTTGTGTAATCCAGGTAAATTGTTTCCGCTTAGTAAAAGCACTTTCAGGTTCGGAAATTTATGTGGATTGAATGCATTGGAACCAATCTGCATTGCCAAAACTTTCCTAAGATCCATCAATTCTATATTCTCCATTTTAGGGAACGAATCATCATCGATAAACTCAAATTGATTATGTGATAAAATTAATCTTCTTACACTGGTTTCAGCTATTATTTCCATCAAGTCGCGCGGTGGGTTTTTTCTGAACCCCATTCCTGATATATCCAAATACATTAGATAAATTCTTTCGTCTTTCATTTTCAAAAGAAAATCTCCAATTAAAGTTGAGTTCAAGTCATTTTCGCCTATATGCAGTTCTCGTAGATTCTTCAATGGAAGAAAACTCTTCGGATGTATAAAATCCAATCTACACAGATTCAGATCAAGTTTCATAAGCCTTGTACCTTTCATTGGTACGAAAGCGTCTTCTGGTATAATTTCGAAGGCATTTTCTGAGATGTCAAGACCTCTGAGAGCCGGGAGAATACTAGGCTTGAAAGCTGGTGTAATGGCGAGTATATTACTGAACCCATTGTTGACTAGTGTTAAATTGCGTAGATTCACTAGTCCGATAAACGTATGTTCATTAATAGAATGTAAGTGCGTGTTGTATGATATAGACAACTGTTGTAAATTCGTGAGGTTCTTAAACACTCCTGCCTCTATGTGTCTTAGTTGATGATTGGCTTCTATTTCCAGCACTTTTAAAAAGTATAATGAATCCAAGTGTCCTTTTCTTATATTCGTTATGACTGTGGTTCTGACTCTGAGAAATTCGCATTTCACTTTGACCTGGAAAGACAAAAATAAATAATTTTACAATTATTTTTTGCACTACTATATAGACTTTATTTCTTTTGTCAATAAAGAATTCATGCTAATTTGTAATAGGTTTATAACGTCAATTAAAGGCAAATGATACCACCACATTGATACCAAAAAAGTAAGATACATTCCCTAATCATCCTACATGTTTTACCCATTACACATGTTTGTTTTTACACATTACAATTAAAATCATTGATACAATATTTACAGCTGAAATAGGTATGGTCTAACGAGTGCAAACCCGTCTATCCATTTTAATGTGGCGCTAATCTTAATCCTATTTAATATCAACTATGTAACGGCTTAAGCCGAACTTGCGTAAGATTATTTGGAATCATTTTCGCTCAAAATTTTCGCGATAAGGATATGATATAAATTTCGTTGACTTTCTATGTTATCCGAGGTTTTCCTTTTATGTGCACAGAGATTTGTCGAGTTTCTCTTAACTGATTGTAGTACGTTTTATCAAAATATAGATAAAGTGACGTGAAATAGACTTGTTATTGTAAAGATTTGTTTAAACAATAATTAGGTGAGAGCGCTTGTCATTCAAATTTATATTCGTTTCATTTATCTAATGCAAAGCAGAGGAAATGTTTTAAGTTGCTGCTCTGTTTAATCAATGATTTAAATTCAACTCATTCTCTGATATCTTCTGACAAATATGATTTGATTTATAAGCTGTTTTGAATTGCTTTTAGTATCTATTTTACTCGTCACCTGCCCGTTAGTTATTAGATCGCAATTAGCACGCACAATTGGCGTTTCTTACGATGCTAATGACGTATGCTCTTGTCAAGTAAGGCCCTAAGTTTGCCTGCCTCCGAGAGGGCTGGTGGTCGTGGCGCCGACGACCGCCAGTCCGGCGTCCCGAGGGGGAGGGTGATGGGAGAGATGTGTCCGCACTAAACACTTCACTTCCCCCCTTTGCCTTTTCATGAGTTCTGTCTCATGTGAGGTTTGGACGTTGGTTGTTGAGCGACAGGAGGTTTTAGTCGGTTCGACTCCGACATGCTCCGCCCGCCTTCCCCAATGGAGGGCGGAAGTCCGGCGATTTCCTCCTGACCAAAAAAAAAAGTTTGCCTGCCTGCCTTCGTTAGTAAATATAATGAAAATTAGACGATAACGTAATGGCGCACGAATTCAATAGGAAATTCACCAGAATAATAAACATTTACGATTATAATCTGAGAAATAAATTCCGCAATGTCGTGTTTTTGAAGAATTATTATTACGTTTCATTATTCAAGCATTGTATTCATAGTAAGTAACATCTATTTCAAATCGGAGCGAATGTATTTTTATGAAACTGTCTGTATTATGTAACTATGTATATATAGTATATGTAATATATAGCACAACTCGTAATTGGGTTCGGGCTCATTGCCGAAACGATAAAATAAGCTTAAAAACAGCACTTTGGGGCAACCGTTGTAACTATACTGAGACCTTAGAAATTATATCTCAAGGTGGGTGGCGCATTTACGTAATACATGTCTATGGGCTCCAGTAACCAGTGGGTTGTGAGCTTGTCCACCTATCTAAGCAATAAATATAAAAATAGTCGCAAGGGTCAACCACTCCGCAGCCTCACCCTGAGTTACCGCCTGCATGATCAGGGTATCCCTACGCCAGGTAAGTATGATTTAGCCAGAGAAATACGAGAACGTCTATCAACTGTGTAACATCTCGTCACCGCGATTCAGGAATTGTTGAATTTACGTGCAGCGACAAACTAAATAGAAATAAAAGTATCTCAGGGCGCTCCGAGAGCCACGACAGCGCTTCGTGATTTGTCGGCGCCGCTCGGAGCCGCTTCGGCAAGCCAATCGCGGCACGCCTATTTTTTCGTTTCGTTTCATTTCGTTTCATCGAGTTTGAAATCACAACGATTCTAAAGAAGTTTCACTCAAAAAAAAAGTACAATTAGTTTTATAATAAGTAAAAGTAAGACAATTTTGTTTTAATAACCTTAGGAAACATTCGACACTCGTAATTCCCGAAGCAGACCACGACCCCATTCTGTTTGCTGGCCCGGCAGATGCAGCCCGAATAACCGTCCTGGCCTAGTTCCACGGGCAGGTCGTCACTCTTCTCTTGCGGGTACAGGATCGTGTGGGACAATTCCTTGTAAACTTCGATCAGGTCGCCGCGACTGGTGTGGACGTTGTAAAGCAGCAGCCAAAGACAATGTACTAGGAGCATATCCTAGTTTGAGACGGGTCTGGAATGGGTATATTCACGATAAGTCATAGTGATGTTCTTTTTTTTTATTGTTTAGATGGGTGGACGAAGTCACAGCCCACCTGGTGTTAAGTAGTATCTGAAGTCTTCATAGACATCTACAACGTAAATGCGTCACCCGACTTGAGATATAAGTTCTAAGTTCTCAAGTATAGTTGCAACGGCTGCCCTACCCTTCAAACCGAAACGCATTACTGCTTCACGGTAGAATTAGGCAGGGTGGTAGTACCTACCCGTGCGGACTTACAAGAGGTCCTACCACCAGTAAATCGTTAATTATTTTTTGATAGCACTCAAAGGAAAATACAATGACAATCTGCCAGAGTTTTTCGAAAAAGTCCTTAAAGTCTCAGTCATTTACGTATATTCTATGTTATGAAATTGTTCGCAAGATTTCGCTAATTTAAATATATTAAACAACCAAGTCGTCTCAAGTCATTAACATTACACGCTACTATGAAGATATTATGATGTCATACATATACCTTCTTTTTATTGCTTAGGTGGATGACAGAGGTAGTATATTGATTGTTATTATATCGCATAGCGGGTGGTACGGGTGAGGGGTGGAGTTTACTGCATATCTGGTGCATACTGAAATGATTACTGAAGCCCATTTTTTCCCCTACCTATTCGTTGGCAGCCTAGGGGGGCTATTCCAGCTACGTTCGGAAGGGTAGGTGAGCTCACGAGTTCAACCTGAGAGAATTTGCTAACACTACCCCTAGCAAGAGCAGTGCTTCGCAAAATCTACCACGGGATCGGAATAGTGACCCACTGAGAAGATCCAGCGAGAAACTCAGTAGGCTGAAGCCCATAGTTATAGTACGTAATATCTATATGCAGCCATCCACGTAGGTGTATAGTAATTATGATAATTATAATTTCTGCGGGTTTCGTTTTTATTACACGATTTATTTTTTATTGCTTAGATGCATGTGTGAGTTTATTACGCACCTGGTATTAAATGTTTACCGGAGTCCATAAACATCAGAAACATAAATGGCGCCACCCACCTTGAGATAAGAGCTCTCAGTTTTTACAGAACAACAATCGCCCTGTATTTTTAAAACCGAAACGCATTATTGCTTCACGGCAGAAACAAGCAGGACGATGGTTCCTACCCATGCGGGCTCTCTTTATCGTGGAAGTAATTCGTGAACATCATATAAGTATCTATTTCCTTATAAAAATCGGTGCTTGCTTACAGGGTTAGACCACCAGGTGTCTTATCTTTTAAGCCACGACGTCTTTGTTACCTACATAATTAATAATTAATAACGAATAAAAACAATTTCTATACTTTTTGAAACTTATATCCATTTTATAGTTTGTTAAAGTGTTGAATAATCTATACAGCTTAGCGCGAACTTCGATTTATAACAACTTACCTTTGTTCGATTATTGAAGGTGAAATCCTTTTTTAAGATTAATATAGAATCTTCGTAAAACTTAAATCCATTTTCTTAGATCTCACTATTTTTCACCTAACGTTATTTCTAAATTTGCTTAACACATTGATTTGTTTGAAATAATCCACTATATTTTTGCACGCCTGCTCATCTAACCAGAAGGCTGTGTCGACTGTAATTTGCCTTTCGTCTTGACGCGTCATTGGACTGTATTATTTGCAAGTGATAACTGTTTGTGATAACATGAAATCACAATGCCGTTCTAATTGGCAGCTCGAAGTTCTTAGATATTAGGTATAGTGTTTGGTTGAATGTTCTTTAGTGTTTTACTAGCTTATGACAGAGAAAAATATAATGCGTGTAAGTTTGCCACAAGGAAGCCAACGAACTGGTGAAGTTTTTTTTTTATTGCTTAGATGGGTGGACGAGCTCACAGCTGACCTGGTGTTAAGTGCTTACTGGAGCCCATAGACATCTACAACGTAAATGCGCCACCCACCCTGAGATATATGTTCTAAGGTCTCGGTATAGTTACAACGGCTGCCCCACCCTTCAAACCGAAACGCATTACTGCTTCACGGTAGAAATACGTAGGGTGGTGATACCTACCCGTGCGGACTCACAAAAGGTCCTACCACCTGGTTACTTGTGGTAGGACTTAACCAGTAAGCTTCCAGGAATCACCTGAATGGGGGTCTAGCAGTCTGTTGTGGTGACTAGTCTTAATAAGGCCTAAATCCAGTGGCGGATGTCTTTCAGCTTATGACGAGTTCGCTTTGCTACATGTGTGAGTCTATACTGTAATACCGTTATTCAGAAACTTCGAGAACACCCAAACACATTCCCACACATTCTAGCAATAACTAGCAAACACACAAACATAGTTATCGACACATTGTACATAAATAATGGAGTTCTTTAGCGGTCACTTGTAGTGCGTTTTGCAAAGTGGAATTAGGCATGCGTCTGCTTTTGAAACCAGTCATAAAATGAAAGGTGTTAGACATTTGAGCCTTCTGTTTGATGTAGAATATTGGCTACCTATTGATTAAATTGTTATGGTTCTATGACAATCTGTTCAGTTGTTAAGTTAACAGCTAAACTTTTTTACTGCCGTTTTATGAGATGGCGGCTCTTTGAGGCACAGGATTTATATAAATCGTTGTTGAGTAGTGCAAAGACATTTATAGTGGAATCCATTTACATTAAAATACATGTATCTACAAACCTCGTGCTTTACCACTTCAACAAATAAGGAGACTTTTACAATTGTTATCCATTTCGACAAATTTTACTGAACGTCATTTTTCGTTTCCTCCATTTCCAGTGTAGGCTAGTTTGGGAATAGAAGCGTAGGAATTGCTGAGTGAAATTTTGTGTAAATAATCTCGCTACTGACAGAATAATTGGGAAGCTGCAGCTGATGGTGAAGGGGTCAGGATCGCAAACATCGTATACATCTTCAGGTTAACGGCCAGGCTACTATCATTAATTAATATCCTATGATCCCAAGCTAAATAAAATTCTAATGCCTTTTAAGTATACACGCTATGAATGGATGATAACTTAAATCAAAATTTAAAAGCATATCACCAAGAACGAAAGTCGATTTTACTCAGACTTTTATAGACGTCTTGTAAATAATCGTCGTGACAATAACAAGTGCAAAAAGCCTAACAAATCTATACATATTTATTCAAGGCGAGTGATCTGCATTAGGTTGATTTACTTGGATTTTATACTTCCATAAAATTCAATAATGTAGTGGATAGAATATCTTCGTTGCTAAATTTATTTATTGCTAAAGGTGGACTGAGAAATCCTCACAGCGAGCAAATGAGCGCAGTGGCTGCAGGTAGTGTAGTATGGATGAGCTCTATTTCGGTGGCGGGCGGTGCCATGGTAAGAACGAGATGATGGAATCATCTCAAACAATTCTTCAGAGCACTCCCCATGGTACATACAAAATACAGAGAGAAGCGAAATCCCGCCGTAGACCCAGAGGTTCCAAGCGATCCGTGAGAATGGGATTATCGACAATCCGACCGGCCCTCTTCTGTATGGAGTCAAATGGAATTAGCTGGTACCTGCCCAATTTTGGTACATCGTCAGCGTGGTGCGGCGTTGCTTGTTGTCTCAAGCTGCTACGATGTAGAGGCGTGACTTGTCTCAATGTCTGCAGACATAATATATCCGAGCCATTATCTGACGGATCGTAATAGTTTTGGTCAACAAGTTCGAGAACGTGAAATTTCTTGCTAATCGGAATTAAATTTCTGATAATAACTTTAAATGAAAGGTCCTGCGTTATAAAGGATCAGGGATTGGTTTTCATAATGTATGAATAATGAGTTGTATAGTACTTAATGAAATTATGAAATCAACAAAAAAAAATATGACAGAATTACTATAACAGTGTCAATAAACGAGTGGACGTTTGTATGAATTCGGCGATAGTCGCTGTGAAGAATAGCAGGATTTTAATAAGCTTAAACTAAGAAGGTAGGATTCCTTGTGAGTCCGCACGGGTAGGTACCACCACTCTGCTTATTTCTGCCGTGAAGCAGCAATGCGTTTCGGTTTGAAGGATGGGGCAGCCGTTGTAACTATACCGAGACCTTAGAACTTATATCTCAAGGTGGGTGGCGCTTTTACATTGTAGATGTCTATGGGCTCCAGTAACCCCTTAACACCAGGTGGGTTGTGAGCTCGCCCACCCAATAAAGCAATAAAATAAAATAAAAAAAACGAGTTGCGTGTCCAATCTCTAAATATTTATTAAGTCTACAACGGTGAAGGCAGAGCTGCAGACAGGTTTCTAATGAGTTCGTCCATCTGCACCAAGTTGACCTTAGCCTGACGGGATAGTCGACCTTCTGGAAGCTCTGGAGGCTCGTGGCGAAGAAGTCTTGCGGACTCAGTCAGGATCTTTTTGGATTCCTGCGAATAATAGTGCTGAAAGTTACTTGAAACCTCATCGACTGTCCAAAAAAGTTCATATTAATTCTGAGAATTTTTACCGAACGGAAACATATTTTGATTTTTTGTCCATAGCCTAGAAGATTAGATTACTAGTGGTAGGACCTCTAGTGAGTCCGCACGGTTAGGTACCACCACCCTGCCTATTTCTGCCGTGAAGCAGTAATGCGTTTCGGTTTGAGGGTGGGGCAGCCGTTGTAATTATATTGAGACCTCAGAATTTATCTCAAGGTGGGTGGCGCATTTACGTTGTAGATGTCTATGGGCTCCAGTAACCACTTAACACCAGGTGGGCTGTGAGTTCGTCCACCCATTTAAGCAATAAAAAAAAAGATAACCTTACTTACAGTAACATAGCCCAGCATGACCATAGGACCTTCAGTTAGAGATTTCCTACGACCTGTCTCGGCTACCGCAGCGTGGAGCTCAAATAACAAGGAACCACGCAGCCGGGTTTCCGCTGTGAAAAAACAATCGTTACAAAAGGGTTTGTTTTTTGGTGACGTCAAGAACTCTTTTACCAAGTGTTGTGATCGGACTAAATGGCAGGCAATCAAATAAAATGAGCTTCTCTTCTGTGTTTCTGCGGAATATTCTTTACGAAGCCTTTTATTAACGGAAGACATTGGTTAGACTGTACATGTAGTTTGAAAAACACAAGATGCTTCGTGCACCATTTATTGTTTGCTATTCCCTCACCCGGAGCTAAAGTTTCTAATAAATCCGCGATCTTTCTGCAGAGCTGGGTTTTGAGCAGCAGCCTATCATCAGTGACAGCTGCCAGGCCTACGTCTTCTTCCTGGCCGATCATCTGAGCGAGGGCGAGGCTCACATCGGTCATGTAATAGTGAGACGGGTGCAGATAGCCGCTGCAGTGGTTGACAAATCTGTAAATATGTACCAGAATTTACTGGTGGTAGGACCTCTTGTGAGTCCGCACGGGTAGGTACCACCACCCCGCCTATTTCTGCCGTGAAGCAATAATGCGTTTCGGCTTGAAGGGTGGGGCAGCCGTTATAACTATACTGAGACCTTAGAACTTATATCACAAGGTGGGTGGCGCATTTACGTTGTAGATATCTATGAGCTCCAGTAACCACTTAACATCAGGTGGGCTGTGAGCTCGTCCAACCACCTAAGCAATAAATAAAAACATATTTTTTCGGCCAATACCTTACCTTTCGCAAGCATCAGCTTCACCCTTTGGCATAACGCTCAGTTCTCGTCCAATATCCTGCAGGAGTTGTTGTATAATGGCATCCGATACGGCGTCCTTGCAGCTGTTACAAATCCAGAACTTTCTGTCTAAGTTACGAGTCTCGGGGTCAGGTTTCTTCGTCTTGTGCAGGAGCGGTACGATGAAAGTTTCCGGTAGAAGATAGCCTTTGCAGTCCCTGATTTGGAGATTAAAGGTTTTAATTGAGTTTGAGATACCACAAAAAAAAAAGAAATGAAATGAAAGATTTGTGGCGTTTAAGTACGCACCTTTTTATGATGCGTAAGACGGAACGCACGAGAGGTGCGAAAAAGAAGATAGTCTGTGACACGGGACCTTTTTACCGCCCAAAATTTAAAACGTAAAATAAAATATAATGTGTATAATAATTAATATAATAGAATAACTTTGAATTGTTTATGTCGCTACAACAATAAAATTCCTATTGTTTCAACTGTGGTGTTAATTACATAAAACACGATTTTACGGCGAAATAAAGAAGGGACTCTGTATGGGTTCCCTCAGATTCATTAACCTTTATTTCTGATTTTAAAAAGGGGTACCAATTATTTCACTTATTCATATATTGCCTGATAATTCTTTACTATCAAAACGAGTAGAAAAAACTTGGAAACGTCAAATCACGATACCGCTTGAATAAATTATTGCGATTGTATATAATCTGACATTCACTGAATGTTAATAAACATGTTACCCGACCAGAGCATAGCCCGTAAAGGGTTTCCACTTATAAGGGTGCAGCACCCTTATAGTCAAATCAGGATTTCATAATATTTCTTTGAAGTTGGGTTTAAGATTGTAAAATCCCTTTGTTCTGACGATTTCACTATTCCTCTTGTTACATCTTTTCGCTGCTGACTTACTTCTTTTTACATTTGACAGCACTGTACATTGTCGCGAGTTCGGTGACGTCAGAGCATCTCTCACAGTTGCATTCGAAGAATTTGGAGTCGGCGAGGTGGTGGCGCCGCGCTTCCGTGCCCCACAAGGGGTCTGTGTAGCAGACTGTTACATGCTCGCCAGTCTTGATGCTGTCTCCAGCACACAGGATCTGATCATGTACCACGACAAATTAGTGTGTGATTAAGAGCTCTTCCACTGTAAGGTCTATTTGCTTATAGTTTACACTATTATTTATCCTACACTATTAGCTATGGCTATTTTATTTATTTATTAGAAGGGTGGACGAGCTTACGGCCCATCTGATGTTAAGTGGTTACCGGCGCCCATAGACATCTACAACATAAGTGCCGCCGCCCACCTTGAGATATGAGTTCTAAAGTGGCAGTATTATTACAACTGCTGCCACACCCTTCAAACCGAAATGCATTACTGCTTCACGGCAGTAATAGGCAGGGCGGTGGTACCTAACCGTGCGGACTCACAAGACGTCCTACCACCAGTAATGACGCAAATTATAATTTTGCGGGCTTTGATTTTTATTACACGATGTTATTCCTTCACCGTGGAAATCATTCGTGAACATTTGTTAAGTACGTATTTCATTACAAAAATTGGTATTCGTCAGCGTGATTCGAACACCGGTGCATCGCTACATACGAGTGCACCGGACGTCTTATCCTTTAGGCCACGACGACTTCAAGACAAGATATGTAGTAGTAACAATTGATATTAGTTTTGTAAACTTACAATTTCTCCGGCAGACGTGAAGCTTTTGTTACAGTTGGCGCGACAGTTGTGTTCGACCATGGAGATGCGGTCGTATACTGCCAGATACTCCGGCTCCATTAAAGGTACTTCATGCCCGTTGATCTGGTAAGACATTTAAATGTTATTGCAGGCTTAAGACGCTTAAAGAGTAATTCGGGTTTTGCGAGGAATGTTTATTTCGTTAAATTGAGATTTTAGTTTTGAATACCATCAATTACCCGAAATATTTCTCGATTTGCAAATAAATTTAATAAATGTACGAATTTGGGCTAATTCTATTATGAGCCAATGACAACCATGTTACAGTAAAGTTAAAATGAAGAGCCTCGTTCAGGGTTCGTGATTGACATTGTTATTAAAATGGATCAGCATCCCATTTTAGGCTGAATTGACAGTTGACATCAGTATCGTACCTGCAAAATTCCACAGCATTTCATTATTTCTTCCTCGTTGAAGACGCCGTCAAGTTTGAAGAACTTCCATATGAAATCGCAGATCATCTTTTTATCGTTATTCCACTTGTCCGTGCCTCGCCTGTCCTCGTCGTGAGACTGTAACGCTTGGAGCTTCTTCCACAACGGCTCATTGTGGTCCCGCTGGTACAAGCATCGGAGGACGGTGATGCATTGATAGTTCGGATGTGGCGAACCAAATGTTGTTATGTTGACCTGTTACAAGGAATATGAATGTTTTAGAACTCGCAGCGGTTACCGAGGGCTAACATGACCATTATTGTGGTGACCTTACCCATATTGGCCCTTCCAATCTGCGACACCACCCCTATTTGTTTGCTTTATAACCGAAATCAGTAAATAAAACTAAGAATCTACGAGGAAAGGTTACGTACTACATTAGGAAATTATTATACTACTACAAACAGTTGATAGGGAAAAGGTGCTAGTAAATTGATAAGGCATTCAGACCTTTCCGGTCATTGTTTTCGCCGAACCCGTTGCTTGCGACGAAAGGGCTCGGCGAGTAAATGAATCCACAGACACAGCCCACTGAGTTTCACGCCAGATCTTCTCAGTGGATCGTGTTTCAGATCTGGTGGTAGATTCTGCGAAGCACTGCTCTTGCTAGGGTTCGTGTTAGCAATAACGTCAGGTTTGAGCCCGGCGAGTTCACTTACTATTAATTCGGTGAATCTAGAATAACCCCTCAAGGTTACTAGAATAGGTAGGAAAAAAAGAAAAAATGCAGAGCTTTGTGGTATTGTCCTTGTAGACAGACTAGCATATGGCCCACCTGCTGGTGAGTGGTCACCGTCGCTCATGGACGTCAGCAATGCCAGGAGCGCAGCCAAGTCGTTGCCTAACTTTGACTACATATAACCAGCTCCTCTGACCTAAAGCTATGATTGTGCACCGATCCTACCTTTTCTCCTCTTTTTTCGGTATAATGACATTCAGGTTCGTGTTCTGGTTTCTCAGTGCACAGCTCAGAACAGAACGGCCAACCACACTTGCTACATTTCACAGTCTTTCCTTCTTCCAGCAATTTGTAGCAGCCGAGACATACTGGTGGAGTCACCTGGAATTGTAATGTTTTTTTAGGGTTGCTGGCCGGCGCACTACACGGTTCGTATGACGCTAAATGGGTACTGATCGACAGTTTAAAGTGCTACAGCCTCTGCCACCCCCCACCTCGTGGATGAATATCAAAGCGAAGGCTAACAATACATTAATAGTTGCCTAGCTAATTAGCTAATTGACATATATATTTAACACTTAGAGTATGTACAAAAAATGTAATTATTTGTGTTTTATTGCAAAGGGAATTGTTTTTAGAGTTAGTCTTTTAATTGGCTTTAAAATATTGTATGGATATCTTATAGATCTTCAAGATTTATTTAAATATATATAACTTTTATATAGATATTTAAGAATTTAGATGCTATAATTATTAAAGTCGAAGAAGTAGTGAATTTACCTGCGCAGGTCCCGATATCAATGGTTTCTCCTTCAAGATAATATCACCAGATTTTATTTCTCGCGTGGCCTCGAGAAACCTCCCGAATTGCGAGTCTTCTTTCACTCGTACTGGAGAGCACTGGTATTTATGCTGCTTCCAATCTTGTTTCTGGTGTTCTTTAGAACAGTAGTAGACGTACTGACATCCTGCACATTTTTGGGGCGCAGGCGATAGACAAACTGCACAGGAACCCTGTTCTACCATCTGCGTTAAAATATTTATGTTTAAATGGAGAAATATTAGTTGCAGGTCACTTGAAGCCGGAGTTTTCGAAACTAGGGAAGCCCCTTCTTACAATACTTGAGATAGTTCTGAACATTTTTAATATAACAGAATAGATGACAAATAAACCATAACGATTTAATACGTATTTGTTAGCCTGCATAGCAATAAAGGGATTGAGACATGGAGTTGCCGAAATTACTCCCAAACATCAGTGATTAGTTAAAGAATATTTTTCAAATATTAGTGTGTTTTTATTTTTATTTTTACCACTATATCTAACGATACGAATGATAAAAAACAAAAAAAAAACACCAAAAGACAAAACATGAATAGTCCGGAAGGGACTATAGCATGTTGCAATAGGATTACTACTGAGGTAATAACTTAAGGTCATCATGTTCCCTATGCAGCATGATAAGAGAATATGCCTATCCAACATTATAAGGACTTCTAAAGTTTCCTCACTCAAGTTTTACATAAGATCAAACTCTCAATTATATTGTATTACATAAATATCATCCTTTAAACTATGTATCCATAATGTATGGTGAACAGTTTTAGGAGAGAAATATTCAGCATCTACCCTGTCTCACAATAAAGCCGACCACCAGTAACTATGTACCTGCAACTACTCATCTACGTTTTTGTATTTAACCTATCAGCAGTATAATTCAATTAGGTATTTAGATAGAACTTATGCATATACCTACAAATATATTAATTGAAACAAGGAAATCGATTTGCTCGCCAAAAGCCATAATCACAATCTGCTGCTACAGATCATTGAACTTTAGTAATGATGAATTTAGTTTTTTATAAATAAAATACAAAGGTTTAACATTAAATACAAATTGTGAAACAGAAAAAAGCTCCTGTCAAAAAATCTTAGCAAACATTTCATTAAATAAATCCTATTATTATATTAAATTTAGTTTTACGGAATTTAATCTAATCGATTTACTAAAAATATGTTGGAGTATCTTTAAAAAAACATAGTCCTGTTACAAAATTATTAATTAATAAATAATTATTTAATAACTATTGTGTTTAAAAATTACAGATGATATTTTCAACAAATGAAGCGTAAATCACTTACCTTTTCTTATTTTTCAATCCAAATGTCAACTGAATTATCTATTTGATACATTTATTGATATATAAGTAAAGTAAATAACTTATAAGATTATTATTCTGAATAAAAACTCTCTCGAGAAGCGCGCGATTGAACCGCGTGCTCGATCGCTTTGGTGTAAAAATAAACCGGCCGCTGAAACATTAGACGCTTTCATTAAATCACAGTGTAAAGAAGCATTGTTAAGATAAATCGTGAAATTAGTTTCAAAAGAACAATTCTCGAAATCAACGATCAACAATTTTAATAAAATTTGTTTTTTACCGAAAATAGTTGATTAAAATTTTCTTTCCAACTCGTGGACATGGTTAAAATTAATTTTACGGTTTTATCCCGCGTTTTCATTAACGTTTCGAATACTTTTAGTTTTTGGAAGTCACCTAAGACCCCGAAAACTAGGGTCATCGTATAATATAATAACTGAGATTAAGCCGTGAAAGTAATTCTAAATAATTGAATAGAGAAAATTAAGACAATGTCTTTTTCTTATTTAATTCTGCGAAATTGAATGAAAGTTTTCACGTCGACTTAAATCTTGAACCAATACGTAAGTAGGTATCTGAGAGAAGCGTCAGAACGCTACTTTGAAAAAGCAGCGCGCCACGATAACCCTCTCATCGTGGCCACCGTTAACTACCACATAACCAATCCAAGTGACGGGTCAAAGCCGCCGTCGCCCAAAACATGTCTTGTCGGATCCCCCGGATCCACTCTCGGTGCTTTTAGACTTTTCAAGCTCCGTCACCGTCCCTGTCGAACTCGTCGATTACGACGAAGAATGCGACGAGCGAATTAACCCATAGACACAGCCCACTGAGTTTCTCGTCGTATCTATACAGTGGGTCACGATTCCGACGCGGTGATAGATTCTGCGAGGCACTGCTCTTGCTAGGGCTAGTGTTAGGGAAATCCCTCAGGTTGAACATCGTGAGCTTACCTACCCACCTAGCGTAGCTGGTACAACCACTTAAGCTACCAGCGTATAGGTAGGGAAAAAGAAATGTCATGACCAATCGTTACCATGCTGTGGTCATGTATCCACAGATTGGTTCGAACATCCAAGCGTTCGTCGAGAAATAAAACCATATTTATTGAAGTTTAATAATTTCAAAACGTTTTATTATTATAACGAACATGGTTTGGTTGTAAGTATGTACTAAATAAGAAAATTAATGTTTCACAATTCACAACTTAATGTCTTTTAGTAGAAGGAATACACGAAGATAGAGCTGAATTAAAAAAATTAGAAAATGATAAATAATAATTTATAGAAAAGGAATGAAGCGCGCTCGTGGAATAGTTGTTAAGATAATATAAGATAAGATAATAATATAATATTTGTTACTTTTACTGATCAAATACATTTAATTTATAATTTAAGCGGTAGGCAGCGGCTTGGCTCTGCCCCTGGTATTGCTGAAGTCCATGGGCGACGGTAACCACTCACCATCAGGTGGGCCGTAAGCTCGTCTGCCTACAAGGGCAATAAAAATAATAATAATATTACAAACAATTATTTACATTCCGCTGTATGTACCTATTTGTCTCCGATTTTTAAAGGCGACAACCGAAAATGTATTGGAAGCAGAAATCTGCGTTCACCTGTAAACTAAATAAAATAACGAAATGTCGGACACAAGATAAAAATAATTGTAAATAGACATGTTTTAACAAAAACCGACTTCAAATAGAACAAAAAAAGATATTCCAACACAAATTAATTAATATACACTAAAAACAATAATCATTGAAATCGGTTGGCGTGATATTGAGTTATTGAGTTATTCATCTATTTGTCGCGCACGTACTTAATGCAAAGACTTAAGACTTATATGGTTTTCTCATGGATACCATTATCAGAAGTGGACTAAAATGAAACCACACGGGAAGCGTCAGCTTTCTAATAAAAAAAGAATCATCGAAATCGATTCACCCAGTCAAAAGATATGAGGTAACAAACATAAAAAAAAATTACAGTCGAATTCAGAACTCCTCCTTTTTTTGAAGTCGGTTAATTAATCATGTCCGTATTAGGATATAACAGACTGTAATGTGAAATGCTTAGATGAATTTAGAATTTGACATTAAGATGTTTTTATCATACTCTTTCAATCGATTCACTCGTTATTTCAAATGTGACTTATATTTTACAGTTGCTTAAAAAAAAAAATTTTTTTAATACTTAGATGTGTGGACGGGCTCGCAGCCCACCTGATGTTAAGTGGCTACTGGAGTCCATAGACATCTACAACATAAATGCCGCCACTCACCTTGAGATATAAGTTCTAATGTCTCACAGTATAGCTACAAATCAGTATAGTTACATTATAGTCAGCTTAGAAACATAGGATCAAAGAAAACGAAATTAAAACCAGATAAAAGTCTACAAATACATAAATTATAAGCGTTTTAAATTCGTTCGAGACAGATAACATATTACATTAATACCAAAACACCTTCTGCGGGTGAAAGAAAGGGCATCCCCAACAAAAAACGAAATGCTCAGAGATTTATTAGTAGATTTAAATTATATTTTCAATAAAATTATAATACTCCACAATTAACATATTTGATGTCTTCAACACGACCTCATTCTAGTATCTGCCATCTGTTTCAATGAGTCGAATAATAAACTTAATATATGCGAAATTTAGAAAGTTTTAAATTATCAAACAAACAATAAATATTCAGATAAAAAAATAAACAAAAATCACTGTTAGATTGTATAGCTAATGAAACAATAGATTGACCTAACAGATTAACATTTTATGAACTGTTAATGTAAATTAAATGTAGATTAAAAACTAAAAAAGAAGCTTAAAAACAAGTCGAATTAAAATTTACAATATTTCTTTTTCTTTTTTTTGTTGTATCCGGGCTTTGGGCCAAAGTAAGATTGTTATGTACTGTCATCGATTATTGAAACGTGTGCCGTTTTTGAATTAGATTGGACACTATGAAGTTGTAGAACTTAGATTAATAGATTTCATTACATAAGACAGGTCCAGCCAATAAAAACATGCTAATAATGAAAGCGCGTCGCATGTTGCAACTTAATACAATATAAGCATTTCAAATGATTTTACTATGTTTTTACTGACTCTTTTAGTTAAATGGTACATGGAAATTAACGGGTTGAATTTTTTAATTGTTTTAAAACTTCCTGTGAGGTGAAGGAGAATCAATATTTAACAAAGCTTAGAATTATGAATGACAACGTAAGATAATACAGTTAAATTTTTATTTGCGTAAAAACAGAATCGTACAATAATATCGTACAATAACGAGGCGGTTAACTGGGACAATAGCCATACAATACAATTGAGAATTTGACCTCAAGCCTCAAGATAGGCGACGGTAATCCCGCTGTGATGTCAAATAAAAAAAAAAGTAAGGAGTGCAGTGGAAAAATATTAAAAGAATAACATTTAATCATTTCGGGAATTCACCAGAACTTGAATAACTTGTCTTGTTCCTTTGCTCCGAATAAAAGAACATAACGCTAAAATTCACGATTTTATTCTCCGTAATTGAGTTGATTTTGTCAGGGCACGCTTCAGGATATCTTGCCGATGATCTGCTCCCATGTTTTGATTTTTTTCAGGGCGTCTCTTGCGGCCGCCGCCATGAGACCTTCGGATGAGTGCGCTGGTTCGAACCCGAGGATCAGGGCCGATTCTTGTAAATACTGTACTATCTGCAAAGGAAAACCGCATAGCATTACCTGCCTGTAGGTTTTATACGGAAATGTTAGTCTAAGAGGTATATGAGGAAAGACAGGACGATTGAGGACGCACCTTTCTGGGTGAGCCTTTGCTTGCCACCGGTCCTGGTGAGACTGAAAAGGCTTCCGGTCCACCAAAAATCCATCATTCATAAAAAAAGGACGCTATTGACAAAGTAAGGAAAGGCGTATCGCAATATGACCGCTTTTTTAGAATGGTAGACTTACAAAAATCTTAGAACTTAGTGTTTGAGACGAATTTAGCTTGCTGATGACGGCCTAGAATATTCTTATCTTTTGCCCTGGTCATCATAAAAGACGATTAAGGTATTCACCGTAGCAGCGTTCTCCTTGTATGGAACCATGCTGCGATCCCAAATTACTATTTACTCGCGGTAGGACGTTTTCTAAGACCTGATGAGCAGGTCTCATCTTGCGCTACGGCGAAGCAGATTGCATTTCGGGCAGACCGATATAATACACCTAAAATTTCAACTATTTCTCATAAAGTGTGCATTCACTTATCTGTCTTGGCTGTGATGTCTATAGGCTTCTGTAACTACCTTACAGCTAGTGGCTTATCAGCCATCTTATGGTCAGTTTTTTTTTATTGCTTAGGTGTGTAGACGAGCTCACAGCAGACCTGGTGTTAAGTGGTTACTGGAGCCCATAGACATCTACAACGTAAATGCGCCAAACAACCTTGAGATATAAGTTTTAGGGTCTCAGTATATGTAGTTACAACAGCTGTCCCACTCTTCAAACCGAAACCTGTCTATTTAGGCAGGGTGGTGGTACCTACCCGCGCAGACTCATAAGAGGTCCTACCACCAGTAATTACGCAAATTATAATTATGCGGGTTTGATTTTTATTACACAATGTTATTCCTTCACCGTGGAAGTCAATCGTGAACATTTGTTGAGTACGTATTTCACTTACCTCTTTAAGACGATTCCGAAGACTCTCTTTCGTTATCGCTTTCTTTTCGAAGTCTCTTGTTGTCAATATCATTAGAGGCGCGTGCAGTTCGTACAAAGTTACACCTGAAAGTTGTAGAGCAGCGTCTTTATAAGGTTTACATAAGAATCTCAAACTGGAGGTCCTGTTTGGTACTATAGGATGGACAGGTATTTCCTTTAAGTCTCACCTCTCAACCTCGAATATCCGGGTTCGATTACATCAAACACTTTCATCAGATCTCTGCATATCTCTATTTTTCTATTCAGTTCAGTATCGGGCATCTCGTGTATCATGTAGTCTGTGACCTTTCCGTACAGCTGACTGAGGGAGTGCTTCGCCGAGAGACAAAGGTAATGACTGGGCAGCAACACGTTCCTGTACTTGTGGAGGAAATTCTCGAAGCCCGGAACGTCATTCGCGTCAATCTGGTCGTATTCGTCTGTGAGCCTGGAAGAAATGAATTGGCAGTGGAAATATTGTACGAGGGTTACACAATCTGGCCTTCCGAGAGGGCTGGTGGTCGTGGCGCCGGCCACCGCCGGTCCGACGTCCCAAGGGGAGGGTAATGGGAGAAATTTGCTCCGCGTTAAACGCTTCACTTTTCCCCCTTTGCTTTTTCATGACTTCTGTGTCATGTGAGGTTCGGACGTGGGTTGTTGAACGACAGCAGGTTTTAGTCAGTTCGACTCCCACATGAAGTCCGGCGATTTCCTCCTGACAAAAAAAGCGGGTACACAATAGGCAATCTTGGAATGTTTACATTGTCATTAAGAATCTGCACGGTCCGTGAAATTGGTTTTTGGGCCAACATGAAAGCGTTGTCGATGTATTTGTGCAACTTGTGTGTGTTACTGGTGGTAGAACCTCTTGTGAGTCCGCGCGGGTAGGTACCACCACCCCGCCTGTTTCTGCTGTGAAGCAGTAATGCATTTCGGTTTGAAGGGCGGGGTAGCCGTTGTAACTATACTGAGACCTTAGAACTTATATCTTAAGATGGGTGGCGCATTTACGTTGTAGATGTCTATGAGCTCCAGTAACCACTTAACATCAGATGGGCCGTAATCTCGTTCACCCTTCTAATAAATAAATAAAATAGCGATAGCTAATAGTGTAGGAGTAGCAAATAGACCTTACAGTGGAAGAGCTCTTAATCACACACTAATTTGTCGACCCATCTAAGCAATAAAAAAATATCCAAAGTTTTGTATGTGCTGTCTTGTGTGTAGTGATGTGGAGCTAGCAGAGCTAGAGTACCTCTGCAGCAGCAAGTGCACGGCGGCGGCCGGCATGGTGTAGTGGCAGTGGTCGCGGGTGCAGGCCCAGGACTGGTCACGCTGCAGGGGCCGCTCGGGTAGCACTGCGCCCGCGCACCGCGGACAGCGGAAGGCGGACGCGGAGGTGCCGAGCTCGGCGCGGTCCGCGCATCGCCGGCACGAGCACCAGAAGAACTTGCTGTGCTTTATGTGCTCACGACGTTTTAGTGTACCCTGATATTTATATTTTTTTTTATTTTTTGTTATTATTATTATATTGAGTTTTCTCCCGAGTTCTTGACTCGGTTTAGTTCCTAGCTCCCGCCCTGAAACCTTCAGGGAAGAGGAGGTTCGGACACCCTTGAATTTATGAAAACTGTATTACCCAAAACTTTACTTATTATTGTGCATGTGTGTATGGCTGCTTGTTTTTGTATTATGTGTATGTTTATATTTGCTTCCAGTTTGCTTATGTATCTATGTATACTTTTAGCCACTACGCCTGTTACGCCTATTACTATGTGGATGGTTTATGGGTGTGTATTCCAGAGTCGTGTTAGTTCTACTTTTAAGGGGTGATATTTACTAAGTTTTTCCAGTTCTTTTGGTCCTATATATTATTATAATTTATTTATTATTATTATTATTATTAAAGTAAAACTTTTATTACATCGTCTCAAACTTTTTCGTCTGTGTGTTGCATGTCGCGTGACGGTCGGCCGCGGAGTAGGGATAAAGTGAAAGGCGCTCGTCAGAGCAGCCAAGGCAGATATGGCGGCGCCTATAGTTCGCAGCAGCTGACCGTGTAGTGTATACACTATTACTCATTTGTGCCAGTGCTCCACGCTATTTTGTTTGTTTTTGTCAGTGTTTAATGTAAATGTTGAGTTAAATGTCTATAATGTGAAAAAAAGTTTCACTTTTACCGTGGTTTCATAAAACCACACAATCCTTATACTTTTTTTTTATTTAGAGGTTTCAATTACAAGGTCAGTTTACTGTGGATAGAGCGTCCTGGGAGTCCGTACGGGTGGAGATTTATTTACCTGTTAACCTGAGATTTAGAACTCATGTCTTAAGGTGGGTGGCGGCGTTTACGTTGTTGATGTCTATGAGCTTCGGTCACCACGTAGCACCAGGCGGGTCGTGAACCTGTCTACACATAACAAAACAATTAAAAAATCTTGATTTTTTTAGGTATTCGCCAATTTAAGGAATGCTTTGACTTACATATACTCGACAATGCGCAAGAAGGTTTGCATTTATTTCGATGATTTACCTGCAGCGTGTAAGCGTAACACAAAGAGATCAAGTCTCCGGCTTTATGAGCTATTGAAGCTCTGACGGTTATAGGTCTGCCCGGAGTCCTCTCGGAGTCCGTGTGTGTCGTGGAGGGAGTGCAGTCGTGGGCCAAGAGATAGGCTCGATCGTAAAGAGCACGAGCGTTCGCCCCGCTACCACCCACTTCGAAGGCATTAACCTTTAACGTAAGAAAAATACACAATTGAATTTAAGTCGTCGTGGTCTAAAGGATAAGACGTCCGGTGCATTCGTGTTGAGCGATGCACCAATGTTCGAATCCCGCTGGCGGGTACCAATATTTCTAATGAAATACGTACTCAACAAATGTTTACGATTGACTCCCACGATGAAGGAATAACATCGTGTAATAAAAATCAAACCCGACAAAATTATAATTTGCGTAATTACTGGTGGTGGGACCTCTTGTGAGTCCGCGCGGGTAGGTACCACCGCCGTGCCTATTTCTGCCGTGAAGCAGTAATGCGTTTCGGTCTGAAGGGTAGGGCAGCCGTTGTAACTATACTGAGATCTTAGAATTTATATCTCAATGAGTAACGAATTATGGATTATTGGACTCTTCACCTCTAAAATCCCACAGACAGTGTGTATTTCCTCGGGATCGTATTCCAGACCCCAGCTCTTGATCCTTTGCACTACATTCTTCTCGTTCGTCGGCCAAATATCTCCTCTCGCCCGTCGGAGCTCATTGTGGGCTTCCATAGCTGATAAAGCCTGCCATTTCGGAGGATCTGCCTTCTTTAAAAGTAGACATCTGGAATGTTTGAAATCAAAATAAGCGAACTTTAAAACAATCAGCGGTATTTTTAATGAAAGGTCTTCAGGGAATACTGTACATAAAAATAATTATAGATGACTGGATCTGAAATTATTTTATATCACCACCTACCCTATTTAAGTTGCGAAGAAATCTTGAGTTAGAATTTGAAAGGGAAAATGTTGTTCAATACAATTTAGACTTTAATCCCTTGTCTCAAGGTGGCTGGTGGCGTATATTCGTACATCAGGAATTTCTTAAGTGGTATTAATACCAAGTGGATTCGTCTGCCTATCTGCACCAATTAAAATAATGTGTAAGTGTAGGCAAATGAGACCATAGATAATACACATAAATTAGTTATAGATAAGCAACTCAAGCGCTCAACAAAAATGATTACGGGCGTCGGCCACTAGATGGCTTCGCTTCGATTAGTTTCTCATTGCTCCTGTAGATGGTAGCAACATAATATTACCCATCCTATATTTTATTTTTAATGAAGGATTTTGTAAATTTTCAGAAACCGCAATTTGATAAAATTTAATCAATTTGTTTTTAACGAAAAAAGGGTTGTAGGTATTATATAATTTATATTTCTTTTTTCTGTGTTTAGTTATACAGTAATTATATGCCTTAATTTTAACAACATATTAGTTTAGGGGCATCCGCTTTGTCTTAAAGTATCGTAGTTTCAGGACCCTGAATGAGACAGTTGACAAACAAACATGTACAAACAGATCGATTTATTTTTTACACAGTAACACGCGACATTGTTAGTGATTCAAATTCGTCATACATACAAACAGATCAGATATTTATAGATTGCTGTGTGAGACTGTACTTATATTTGAGTCATCGTGTATTAACGACGAAAGTATTTATGATTTCCGACAATTTTCGATTGCGAATACGGGTGAACTAGCTCACGGCCCACCTGGTGCTAAGTGCTTACCGGATCTCATAGAAAAACGTGAATGCCACCACCCACTTTGAGACTTGACGCTTCTTTGTCTTAATTGCTTAGCAATTACGCATGAAATATTTTTTGCGAATTCGACTTTAATTAGGTACACAATGTTCTTCTTTCATTGTGGAAACCATCCATGAGCGTTCTCAAGTACATGTACGAAAACCAACTCAGGATTTATGTATATATATACCACACTAATGTTGGCTTATATTAGCGACATTAGGGGCAGAAAAGCGCAGAGAGAGATTAATTGTAGTTAGAGAGAGCAAAATTAGGGCTGTGATAAAAAAAAACATTTCTGCGTTATCGAAAAAGTTTTGAGAACTATTATTGCAAATTAATTTAATAAATAGGAAGACATACATTAAGAGTGCGTATTAAAAGTTCTAAAAGCTAATATTACTTTGATCATTTTTATAAAATAATATTCCAGATCATAGCATTTTTAAAACAATACGTATAATTTAAGTATACATACCTTAACGGCATCAATGCTTGGTAGGAATCCCTCAAATCTTCAAGTTTGGAGTAGTCTGGAGGTATACTTCGCAACGTTTCGCATTCGTAAGTCGAATGACCTGTGTATTTTCCTTGTCCGGGACACGAACCACTGCAAACTGGCCACTTGCAGTTTTTGCATCTGTAATAAAACATTATTTTTTTCCCACCTATACTGATAGCCTTGAGAGGCTATTTCAGCATCTCCTTGACGTGTAGGTGAGCTCACGGGGCTCAAACCGGAAGTATTGCTAACACTGGCCCTAGCAAGAGCAGTGCTTCGCAGAATCTACCACCGGATCGGAATGATCACTGAGAAGATCCGGCGAGAAACTCAGTGGGCTGTGTCTATGGGTTAATTTACTCGTCGAGCCCTTCGTCGCAAGCGACGGGCTCGGCGAGGACGGTGACCGGTGCTTGAGGTACCTAAAAGCACTGTTAATGGATCGGAAGGATCCGTAATGCCGTGCTTAGGGCGACGTCGACTGTTTACTATTCGGACCACAGGATCGGGTGTGAAAAAAAACATGCTTTACACACTAAACTATAAAATATTGTGATTTCAGTGAGCGATATTCCTAAAAATTCGATTCAATCCGTTGGAAAGAAACTAAATTTAACGTAACCTTTCGTGATTCCAGATATGAAGACAAAAAATGAAAACCAAAAAAAAAACAAGTGTGATTTAGACCACACGACTGAAGTAAAACTTCTTTAGCTGCATCTATATTTATATTGATATTAATTTTCTATAAACATTTAAATTGATCATAGGTTTTCATTGATAATTTTTTTTTTTTGAATGAGAAATAAATTTGAGAGCAACAGAGAAAGCAGATGTGCGCGCCCACTACACTCTCTTGCTCCCACAGCAGCAATAGGCCTGCAATGCGTCTTAGATATACGACACGTAACTCTCTCTTTCTATTTTCACTAATTTATATCTCCCTCTCAATTTCTGTTCGCCTCACCCGATCACACTTTTCGTAACGCTCTCGTCGCGCTTTCACCAGCTTACTCCCCAAGTCAAGCGTGCGTAAAAAAGTTTTACTTCAAAAATATCTGCAAAATGAAAGCCTTACAAAGTGCTAGAAATATAATCACTTACTTGTTAATATTATTTTCGTCTATTTCCCTGTAGCATCCGAGGCATATGAGAGCACAGCCCGTGCAAGGTCCAACAGCTAAAGCCGGTTCCTCTATGATGATTTCTCCGGCTTTGATGTCTCTTGCTGCCACAATGTACCTATAACGTTTTTTTTTTTTTTTTTTTTTTTTGTTGCTTAGGTGAGTGGACGAGCTCACAGCCCACCTGGTGTTAAGTGGTTACTGGAGCCCATAGACATCCACAACGTAAATGCGCCACCCACCTTGAGATACAAGTTCTAAGGTCTCAAGTATAGTTACAACGGCTGCCCCACCCTTCAAACCGAAACGCATTACTGCTTCACGGCAGAAATAGGCAGGGTGGTGGTACCTACCCGCGCGGACTCACAAGAGGTCCTACCACCAGTAATTACGCAAATTATAATTTTGCGGGTTTCATTTTTATTACACGATGTTATTCCTTCACCGTGGAAGTCAATCGTGAACATTTGTTGAGTACGTATTTCATTAGAAAAATTGGTACCCGCCTGCGGGATTCGAACACCGGTGCATCGCTCAATACGAATGCACCGGACGTCTTATCCGTTAGGCCACGACGACTACAAAACTACGTAAATAGTTTGACCTATATACCTATATTTCCGGCAATAAACTTTCATAAATATATTTCTCAACGTGGTTCTCTTTGCCAATATATGCAGAGCAGGATACGGAAGGCTCCTATATACTCTGCTGCTACTGTTGCTGGTATGCCTTGATCCTTCGGGCTAAGTTTGCTCAATTTCATTGTGAGAAGCTCAGTTCACGTTGTGGTGAAACTGACCCACATGATAATAAACATTTCAACAAACAATAAAATTATATGTTTTTTACATTAAACTTCATGTTTGCCATGCCAAAAAACTGGAAAGCATCTATGATCGCTGGGGCCATAAAGTTTTATTAATAAACTTAAAAATATTGTTGGGCCTCGATTTTCTTGATATCAAACGTCGTGTTCATTATGTGAGTTATAAATACCTGCCCATAACATCAGAGTATTTGATTTCATAACATAGACTTTTCTTCTCATCGGCTGTTGAGACTTCTTCTATTTCTTCTTTGTCAGAATGCAAGATATTCTCCTTGTTTCGTCCATCGCTCTTGCCCCTCTTCTTTTGCTGAAAAGCAACGCCAAGTTATAGTAAAATATTAATCCACAATCTGAAACGATGATTCACGGTTTTCTTATATCTTACACAGAATATACAAAGTAGCATTCGCAATTTTGTAAGAAACGAACTTTCGCGTCGAAGTGCGTTGGAGACGCTGTTTTATGAATGAAGACAAGACGACTAAAACGATACGTGGACCGGAGTGAGTTTGTGTTATGAATGAGTGACCAGGCCAGGTAGGCGGTGTCTATTTGTATTTTTGTACGCCACTTGACTTATCCGCGCCAATGGCTCGATATGAAAAACCATTCCATAACCCCGCCAATGATTTATATGACCGTGAAATGGAATAAGTTAAGGTTGGCGTACACTGAAGTTCATGGATGTATTGTGCCTTTTTATTTGACCTTTTTGATGTATTATAATAATAAAACGAAATGATAAACTTCAAGTGATTGCAAGTGATCGTTCATTCCTAATAGATAAATATTAATATGAATTTCTTGGTAATTACATCATTGATTTATAATACGATAGACACTAAGAGTACGTAATGCGATCAGAAATAAACTCCCAGAAAACAAGATTTTAGAATATTTGTGATGCAATTAATATTCTAAGACTCTTTTCGTTGGTCTACTGCGGATTCGTAAGTTATAAACAGCGCAATTTTATTTTATTTTTCTATGACTAGCTAGACTAACTAGACTTCAAGCAGCGACTATCCTCCATCGCTCATTGTCGCATTCTCACTTTCTTAGGACATGTGTCGCGACGGGGTGACGACTCAGTTGAGCGCCTTGTGGTGCAGGGCATTATTGAGGGTACAAGACCGCGCGGCAGATCACCGTTACGATGGACCGACTTAATAAAGGCAGCTCTAAACGATCCCGTTATCGAGTGCACAAGAAGGGCCGCGGTACGCGAGGAATGGTGACGTCTGGTAAAGCGCACCACCAACCGAAGTGATGACCACGACCATTCTGCCAAGAGTGCATGCGACTGAGAAGAAGAAAAATGACTAGCTAAGCACTAGTTCTAATTTTTGTGGCAGGGTTGCTTTTGGCGACTTTTCACCATTATCACAATAGTATAATTCAAAAAGAAAGCTTTTCGTATTTTCTACGTCCTCGGCATTTGTCCTCTTGATTTGAAGCTTTACATAATTCTTGATAGCATTTTCGAGAAAGTTTCTGAAATAGCGTTACTAACATAGATAGATTGTTAAGATAGTGAATTGGATTTCTATAATACTATTATTAGATATTATAAGTACCTATTATTGGTATTACCTACTATTAGATATCAATAGATATCAGAATAGTATTATTATTAGTTTAATAGTAGTATAGAAATTCAATTCACTGTCTTAACAATCTACCTATGTTAGTAAAGTAGTAGTAAAATTCTAATACTAGCTACTCATTTACGTACGTTTCCTTAGCTCATTTGCAGTAACAGACACTTTTCTTTCTCAATTAATTAACCTCAATACCTAGCCTTCCCTAAATTCTAGTTAAAGCAAGTGATTTTCTAAGCCCCGGTGAATAGCCTAGGACCTACTAAAATAATCTTACTCATTTCTAACACGAAATATTTAGTTATTTCCCATGTTCAGTTTTGAAGGCACTGCCAATGAGACTTCAACAACATATCTCAAAACGGACAGAGATATTCACGTCGATCTAAGGCAGTGCACATTTTACATCAAATAAAACAACAACCCAATTTAATATTGTTACGCCGGTAAGAGTATCGCCATCTATTGCCGAATAGTCGAACGAATATCGAAGGATCTAGTAGCACCTAGAACGTTCGAGAAGTACAATGCCATCTATTGCCGTATAGTCAAACGAATATCGAGGGATCTAGTAGTGCCTAGAAGGCTCGAGAAGTACAACGCCTTCTATTGTCAGACAGCGGAAACACAATACTCGAAATGTGTGGAATATTCTCGATAATTCTAGGGATGTGGTATTGGTTATAAAAGCACTGCAGAGATGGCACGCAGTTAGTAATCTGAACTACTCGAAGCGAAACAGCGACCGGATCACCTGAAGCGAAACGGAAGAAGCGAATTGAGAGTTTTAAAGTTTTTGTTGAGTGTTTTAAGTGTACTAAGTGTTGAACAGTTTTTAGTTGTACTTTGGTGGAATTTTATTTATCCCGAACCCCAGCGCGTAACAATATAAATTGTCCAAGAACATCGTGAGCATTCACCTTAATACCATATCGAAATACCAGCAATAGCTTCCCCCTTAACGTTTAAACTTTGATCTATTCAATAAAACATCTTTATAGCATCGTCAAATTTTACAATGTTTTCATTATTATAATTTCTAAGAAGTCGAAGTGTGCACACTAAATAGAGCTATGGTTGAATTAAGAAACGAACAAAATGTTATTTTTTTTGTCTGATAGTGTTTGTAATCAATATTGCTTAGTTACACGTGTCTACACTGTATTGTTTGATTCAAAACATCCGAAGAAGACGGCTAACTTTTATTTATTTATTGCTTATGTGGGTGGACGAGCTCACGGCCCGCCTGGTGTTAAGCGATTACCGAAGTCCATAGACGTCTACAACGTAAATGCCGCCACCCACCTTGAGATATGAGTTCTAAGGTCTCAGTATAGTTACAACGGCTGCTATACCCTTCACACTGAAAAGCATTACGGCTTCACGGCAGAAATAGGCAGAGTGGTGGTACCTACCCGTGCCGACTCACAAGAGGTCCTGGCATCGGTAAAAAAACTTCATGAGATGGTTTGATAAAATGTCCAATTACCAGACTGTTTGCGCAATTTACAAATACTTCAAGTATCACCGAAATGTCAATCCGAATATCTTATTTTTATCTTATCTTTGTCTATTCAGGTGAACATACGATAGGCCGGCATATCAAAAGCAATTATAAACCTTAGTTTACCCTAAGAAGCTGTGTAGTTTCAAACTTTAAGAAATTTTAGGTCCTAACTCTTCTTATTGAACAAAAAGCACCATCTACATTTATTGTCCACAGATAATAATTTAAGCATTTAAAATTATAGGCATTTATAATTATAGTATTTTCTTATTTTGATCCGAATGTATTAAAACTAGAAAAAAGAATATGGAACTAGCTGTTGATATAGGACATATTGTAAGCCCACACGAATATGCAGCATCTCCTTGCTCTTCTCCACAATATAATTATCTATTCGCTGGCAGCCTAAGAGGCTATTCCAGCTACGCCCAGACGAGTAAGTGAGCTCACGGGCTCAACCTGAGATAACTTGCTAACACTAGCCCTAGCAAGAGCAGTGCTTCGCAGAATCTACCACTGGATCAGAATCGCAGCCCACTGAGAAGATCCGGTGAGAAACTCAGCTGTGTATGGGTTAGTTCGCTCGTCGAACTCTTCGATTACGACGAGAATTTTCAGCTTCATGTGAATGGATGGAGGCTGAGACCGCGTTTCTTCTTCAAGCCGCGTTCACCCAATGCTGAGTGTAGGTGAGTGACTGAGTGCTCTTCAAATGCATCCCATTCCCTTCGGTCTCTTTCCTTTTGCATCCAGTCCCTACTAACCACTTTGATCAGGTCATCGTCCACCTCGTTGGTTGTCTGCCCACGTACTTTTGTGCCCCACCAATTGTCAGTGCGAAACCACATCAGGAGTTGCTGATTAATAACAAAAAATCCGAAAAAAACCGACTATTATCTCCCAACATTCCCTTTTTTGGTAGAAAGCGACGCAGTTGTGTCCTTAGACCTCAGTGGCTACTTTCCATCAGGCCGTCTGCATTATCGTCTGCTTACTGAAGCAAAAATATCAGCCCCAAAATTACATTATTTCCTTTTACAGTTTGTACGCTACCGTTAATGTTTGTATATTTAATACTCACGGTCAAAACATAGTACATCCATCGGATACTGTAGTCTGTTTATCATCAGTAATGACGTGTTGGCTCAATCAGGTTAATAGAGAATACAGTTGCTCCATTTTGTATGTATTTACGTTTGAACGAGGAAATCAATTCGAAATGTTTAAACAGAAAGCGTAACAGATATTTCAAATCATCGAGTTTCGTTACTGATTTAGGGTTTGTTAGAACCATTCGGAACGGAAGCATACGTAGCTCGGTGTATAAGTGACGGGCGGGGCGACTCTGCCGGGGTTGAAGAAATATTGATCAGATGTGTATAGAATGTCTATTTTTTTATTGCCCTAGTAGGCAGAAGAGCGTACGGCCTACCTGATGGTGAGTGGTTACCGCCGCTCATGGACTTCAGCAATGCCAGAGGCAAAGCCAAGCCGCTGCCTACCATTAAATACTCTCCACAAGCCTCATTTGAAGAAAGACATGTCATAGCGCTTGGGAATCACCATGGAGGGGAGCTAATTCTAAAGCCGGATGGTAAGTGGCAAAAAAAAATCTCTGGAAGCGCGCTGTGGATGAACGCTGTAGCTTCACGTAGTATCAATGAACACTACTCTGGTGGCGGGTGGTGCGATGGTAAAAACGAGATGATGGGATCATCTAAATTACGATGATAAAGAAATATCATCGGTAGACGAAAACGAAATATGCAGAATTCACGTATACACCCATGTTAAGGCGTGTCATGAGCCATTGAATAGGTACGGTAATGGTAATAGTACGCATTACCGCCACGGAGCAGTCTTTTATTCCTTTACCAAATCCATGTTTTGAAGAAAGTACCGCCACGTTGACTATTTCTGCCGCTTTCTACCGCGTTCCAGTTTGAGTGGTCGGGCAGCCGTTATCTTATAATTGAGAATAGAACTTGGTGCATCAAGAGAAGTGGCGACATTACGTTGTGATTTCTATGAATCATATGAATGATATTCATATCACATGATACGATAAACATTTACATGTCTATACAATTAAAAAAAAATCAAAATGAATTCCTATGAATTATATAAATTACATGAATAGGTGCCTGCGTCAGATTTTGAAAATCTTTTGGCCTGAGAAGATCACTAACAAAGAGCTGT